GCAAAATTACTATAACTATAAACTCTAAAAAACTGAAAATGATTTTAGTATTTCTTTTAGTAAAGAAAGATGGGGAAAAGGTAAAACTGGACTATTTATCAACAATCTATAAAGAAACATAAATGGGGAGATCAAACATGGCGATGGGCGCGGAGAGATCAAGTCTCTGACCTCGTCAGCTGCACAGGCACAGGGACTGTCTTAAACCTTCGAAATGCTGTTTGCTCAGGAGAGGTAGGCAATGCTGAGCTGACGTGGATCTAGGGTGAACAATCTGCGCCTCTCAGAACACACACTGAGCCTGGAGCGGCTGAATTCAGGCTCCCATTCGCCTGTGTCTTGCAGACAAACCGCTGTGACTCAGCACTAAACGATTCCAATCCCGCTGAGACAACTTGTCGGCTTTTCCCGATCCTGCAGAGGTAATTACCAACTGAGCCTCCATAAACAGAGGCCACAGGATTGAGACGGGGCTTGGGAGAGCCGGTCAAGACCCACCTGTTGCATGGGTCACCGGCAAAGGGAACGAACTGTCACCATTCGCATGGGATATCACCATGGCAGAGAACTGACATCACCAGAATGCGGCAGAGGAGATAACTTCATTGAAACCAGCGGCGGCAGGTGTGTAAACTCCTAGCCCCTAAAACCAAATCGCAGACTGCTATATGCCATCAGAATCCGTACACAATTTAGGAAACGAATGAATCTGCATTAAAGTGCAACAAAACTCATCATCTCTAGTCATAGTCTCCCATCACAAAAGATAGACTCCAGAGACACACAAAACCAAATAAATTTATAAGAGTAAACAGTAACTCAGCAGTCAAACAGAGCAAGAAGTAACATGAGCAGCATGAAAAAGCAAGGAAGAAAAGGAGTACAAACAATGCAGGACAGCCTAAATATACAGGAGGACCTAGAGGCATCAGAAAAAAGGTCAAATAAAGAACTCAAGGAATACCTTAGACAGATGGAATGGAATCTTAAAGAGGACATAAGACAGCAAATTCAAACAATGAAAGAACACATTGAAAATGAATTACATAAACAGATAAAAGAAGCAAATAAGCATCTTTATCAGGAGATAAAAGATTATTT